TTGATAAAAATGCAGTGACTTGCAAAAAAGAGCCCCCAGTTGACAAGGAAGAGGCTTTATGGGGACAAGACGACCATTTAGGCCTCAACCTATAGAAACTTAGAAAATAGTCACAAAATATAAAAAAGTCGTTAATTTTCAGGAAACATTTTGGTTTCCTGCCTAATAAAAGAGAGCACTGAAGAACTGTTGGTGTTGGTGTTTTTTGTTTTTTGTTTTTTACAAAAGTTAAGGCTGTCCAGATCTTTGATGCAGAAAGTCTGCGGTCCCCAGAATTACATCTTATATCTTCAAGTTGAAAGCAAGGTTTCGTGCTATACAGTTCTGACCTCATGTTAGACTGGAGTGGAGACGGGAAGCAGAGGCCTGGTTAAGTCATATAAAAATTAAGGGAGGGCGGGCGAGGCTGGTCTAAGGATCCCCAGTGAAACTGCCCTTTGGAACTGTCAGGATGTAATATTTTTTTATTTTTTTCTACATTCAAATAATAAGTATTTTGGTTTTTGTTAAAATGGAAATTTGATCATGGAGTTTGCTGAAGCTATGAAAACAGACACATAACTGCATTGGGCTCCTCACAAAAGCCTGACTTTTCTTTTTCCCTAGAAAAAAGGAAAGTTTTCCTGATAAGATTAGAAGAAGGCTATCCTAGGAGAGTCAACTGGCAGCAAGACTCAAAGATCTCATCTTGCTGGTGTCTTGGAGCTGTTTTGTGACATACAGCCTAACTCTGTTTACCTGTTGGGTTGTACCGTCCAACAGGACAAAGGATATTTGCTGGTTCTATCCTAATCAGTGGAGGCCTATATACCTTGATAGTAAGTTGAGGAGCTTCCAAGAGATTGCATATTTGCGAAGTTTCAAAACTTCTTGCGGTTTCAAGAACTGAAGGTGCGTGTTGCAAGAACACAACTTGAAACTGCTTGCCTTGGAATCGTTTTTACTGTAAACAAAGTCACCCTATGGGAGATGAGACTATTCCCACAGGGAATGGGGCCCTTTGGTGAGTTAAACTCCACAGTGGGTCCAAGGACAAAGAGAGATGGCCAAGCTGCTAGATTTTCAGCACGGACAACGACAGAATGTCCTCTGTGAGTATTTTGTCTATGTTCATGTGTTTTAAGTTGATAGGGCTAATGCTTTTTTTTAAAAAAGGAAGAAAATCGATTTAGTGGTTCGATTTTTGCCTCCGTCACCATGTTCCCCTCTTCCTTTTTCGTGCTATCCATCGATTCATTGGCATTAAATAAATGGTCATTTCAAGGGTGTTCTGTGGTCCCTTGAAATGATATTTTGCAGGAAGCAAAGAGAAATGAGCCGTTTTTGCACGTGGCCTGAATGTTTTGCTCCAGAGATGATACTGTACCTCGATGTTTTTCCCCCTTTTATAAAAACTTGGCCCTAACCAAAATAAAACATTCTACTTGTACGTAGGAAAAACACAGTTATGACCAGGAAGCAAAATGGAGTTGGTGGGAATTTAAAGCTGATACATGTACATCATGAACATCAACAGTTCAAAAAGGAGTCAAATCAAATGAACTCTCGAACTTGTTTGAGTTTCCTGAAAGTCTTTGAATATTTTAAGGTTGCTCAGGAGGCTTATGGAAACCATGCGTTGGGTTTGGCCAGAAGGGAATTCCCTCGCCCCTCATCCTCTCTACTCCCAGTACTAAGTGACATCACTGAACACTGTCAAATCACTTGTAGAGGCAACTAGCTTTGCTTATAGAAGGAATTAATAGATTTACGGGTAAAAGAGGTACAAGGTAAAAAAATATTCCCCTTCGTTTGTCCTATTGCACATCAAAGAAAACAAAGGCAAGGATATACAAGTCATCGAGATTTTTTTAGGATACGTAAGCTTAAACTTTACTATGTTAACCATTAAAAGATCTTTACTTCAACGCCACTGAAAATCTATTTATAACAAATGAACTATCCCTCTTTTCCCTCTTTCTCCTCTTTCCATTTAAAGGGGAACAGATTATATAGTTTTAGAAGACAATCCAACTAATCATTAGCTCAAAAAGACCGTGGTTTGGCAGCTTCGTTACTGATTCTCTGATTAGTCAGATTATGTAAGTCAATACCCTGTATTTTAGGGTGTGATACATACACAATAAAGTTTTCACAGAGAAAATAATAGCAGGGAAAGCAGAACATTCTCAATCACGACACTGGGGATGTTTTCATTATGTAGATATTTGTTTCTGTAGGTGAGATTATAGGTCTCAGCCTATAGAAGTACTGGCTGAGCCTAAATCCTCTATTTTCGATAGGAAAATGATGCAAAAATAAGCAAATATATGCTATATTCAAAGAAACCATATAGTATGGGCACATATCATTTTAATAAAGGAAACTGGCTTTACTTTAAGCTATTAAGTGATAAGGTTAAATAGTAAAATTATAAAGAGACCTCTAATTCATATAATTTGTTAATCGCTATAATAATCATGGATGAATGAAAGTGCAGATTATCATTGGTCTTTCAGATCCGATGCATAAGGTTGTGGTGAGAAGGGCATATAATTTTCTTCAGGAGGAACTAGCTCACTACGGAAGGACGGGTAGGTCATTTCTGGGAATGATCTGTTCTCAGAATCAGAAGACTGATTCCATTTATCAAACAGCAAGCTCAAGGGTTCTAAATTCTACGATTCCATTCACTAACTGTGCTTTTTAAAAACTCCTATTGAATAATTTTAATCCCTAAGTGAGTAAAAAAAGATAAGTTATGGTAAACTTTTAGATTGTTTCTCTATTAAATAAATTATTAAAATTAGATTGTCCAAACACTGAGACTGTTTTCATTTTCTACGTAAATAGGTTTATCTGGCATGTCATTCTCTCTAACATTTACATGAAGCATAAGTGACCATTGACTGAGGGGCGTAAAGCTGAGTGGGGAGATTTCTAGGCAGCAAAACCAGATGTTATAAGACAGCAGCTTTATTCAATTGCAGCTGCTTTGGTGAACCTGAGATTATTTGGAGGGAATCCCCTCTACTAGTCAAAAGCAAGCCATTGATGGAATCATCTTAGGAGGCAGAACTTAGCTCCTTTATTTGTCCCTTCTTAACTTTTCTTTTGTTTACATATTGGTGATAAAATGACTTACTTTGTGCTCATTGAAATATAATTATTTGAGAAAAATTAACAATAAAAGTGTCATTGTTCCCCCTTTCCATTGGGAATAAATATAATTTCAAGCCAAGACATTTACAATAATAACAGTTCGATTTAGCACTGAGAAAGCTACTTAGGACAAATTTAGTTGGTTCTGTAAAGAAATTCTCTCAAGACTACCTTATTTTTTTTTTCTTGTCTGCTTTCCACAGAAGTTAGACTTGATGTAGCGTGACTTATTGTATGCTACATACAATTTTGTGACTGATTCGCAACCATGCTCTGAACATCTGGGCAAATAGCTTCAAGTTAAGCTATCTCTGTTATTAAAGCCAGTTAAAATGTTACATCTTTATTTTATTACTGTATTATTATTTTACTAAATTGGTTCCCTTTGGTTTTACTACACATGTGACCGTTTGCTTTGGGAGAATGCTAAGAATTTATCTAAAGAATTGTTCACTGTGTTCTAGATTTAAAAAAAAAATAAATCTATTCTTTGATGTTCTGAAATCTCCAGAAGTTTAAGAAACGGGCCTTAAGAAGCTCAGCTAATGTGCCACTCAATCAGTACTTGAGGAATGAGTTTAAGTACTTAACGTGGAGAAGACAGGTCTTTCTTAAACATTGTTTACATTTTTCAAGCTTATTTTGAAGGGTGGATAAACCTACATGGTGACGTTACAGGAAACGTTCTCTTTCTCATGGGGACAGAAAGAAAAGAGTCCAGAAGTAAGGCTCTGTAATCAAGCGGGCAGGTGAGACGAACAGGTAAGTTTAGTTCCAGCACCGTCCAGCTACCATGAAGCGGAAGCATGGCAGCAACCACTGTAGGTCAGAAAGACTGTTTTAGAAATATGGTCACTGCAGAGATACTCCTCAAAAGGATCCCTTCGTTGAAAATAGATTAACATGATCAGAAAATATCCGTGAAAAAGAAAACAATATAAAAATTTACATTTTTTTTTGAGAGAATAGAAGCAAGGCTCATGGATATGCCTAAGTTTAGAGATCACTACTAATGCTCAAAACAATGTTTGTTTCATGTCCTTAGAAAATTAAAAATGGTGCTTCGTATATAAAGGGTCCATCAGTGAAGCCACAGAAAGAGACAGCTGCTGATGGGCAGGTTACGGAGTCAGTCCCTACATTTCAGTCGTGACAAGCACTGGGTTCTTTTCTTTTACATCAACTTCATTTCAGTTTTAACAGAAGGAAAGCCATAGATGCACAATACTGTAATCTGGAAGCTTATGTAAGGCAGCAAAAAGCATCACCCTAGATTGAACACACTAAGTAAGGTCCACTTTTGGCCACACTAGCAACCAGCTAGAGCCAACAGCATTTTGCCACACAAGATATAAAAGCAAAGATCCACAGCAGGGGAGGCAAGTGGGAAGTCAGCGACGTGGTGACGTGTGACTACGTTATAGGAACACGCTACAGAATGCAACCCCCGGTGCCACTGGGTTCAATTCCAGTCAAGTGAATTAAGGCTACTATATAACTGGCTGACGTGAAGAGTCCATTCCAATCGAGCAGTAAGAAATTGATTCACTCTTGAAGACACAAGGAAAGGTTGAGAGGAAAAGCAAGTTCTTGGAAAGAATGAAGCACACACATGCACGTTTGTCTCTCAGGCGAGGAAACTGGAGAAAAACGAAAGGGGAAAAAAAATAATAAGAGAGACCAAAGCAATCCAACTGCAAGGCAAGGCAGGCATTTGCTTCCAGTTCACAGTATTGCAGTTAGTGGTACAGTGAGGTCTACGTAAGTGCTGGAGAGCACAGAGGCTGCCCAGAAGAAAAGGGAAGAAAGAAGTGGTCACATGACAACACAGCATTGACAGCGCTTTTTCTTTTGGGTACCTGGGGCTGGCTCTGTGGCCAGGCTCTCTTCCTTCCCTTCTGGGGATGAGGGCTCTGTGGTGTCTGAGATCAGCCTCCCGGACACAAGCTCGGCTGCGTTCCCATCGATAGTGGACACGTCCGTCACTGTCTTCTCCCTCAATGACTTCTCATCGTCTTCGTCAATGAGGACCAATTCAGCCTTGATGGTTTCATCGTAGCCTAGCACCTTCTTGGTCTCCTCTTCGTCCTCGATATTTTGGTAGCCCATGAAAATCATGGTGACCGGCTGATCCAAGTTTGCCTCGGGCCCTTCAGTGCTGGGGGCTTGGGCCTGCTGCCCTGGGGTCCCGGAAGAATGATCTTTCCTAGACTTATGTACCATTTCTAACTTGGCTTCTTTGCAGAGCATGTGTTCCTTAGGGTGGCTGAGGCTCCCGTCTGCGATCCCAGTTCTTTCCGACACGTGCCCTCCTCTGAAGCTTGATTGTCCCGCCTTCTGAATAAGCTCTTCTACATCCTTTGAGCTTAACCTGTGCACTCCGTTTTCTACCACAGTGCCTCCCGAGTGCACCTCATATACTACTTTGGTACCGTCATCATAGACTTTGACTCCTCTCTGATGGACCCCCTCTGGGCCAATGGTGGATGTAGAGAGAATCTTGGTCTCTCCTGTTTGTTTGTCTTTCTCCACATTAATTTCCATGGCGTACACAGCTTGAATGAAAACAAGAGAAAGGAAGTGCATGTTACAACAAAAAAAGCCAGTGAATGGTTAATTGCCAAACAGACACAAAAAAAAAAAGGGTTTGTGCCCTTTCTAGTCTAACTGCCAAGCATCTTGAGTGTTAGAGTGAGTGCACGTTGTGGACAGAGGTGGTTACGTATGTATTTTAACACAGCAGCTCAATGCACTGGGAAGCCAGATGTACAGAGTTACCGTATCTCAACGGCACTTACACATTTAAGGAAGATCTGCTAAAATAACACCACAAGCGACTGTTGAGATCCAGTGTAATGAATTACGGGGAGGCTGGCACCACGTGAGTTTATTTTGATTGACAGCTTACCCTAGGCTTATAGACAATTTTAAAGGCCCTGGTTAAGAAGTATCCTAAAACTCCATAATCTTAAATCTTTTTTTTTTTTTGACTCTTTTACCAAGCATTCTACTTTTTTTTTGTTTGTTTGTTTCTTTCTTGCATTTCCTTTTACTGTTAATGGAGAAAATGCAAAGGCTTTTGCAGGTGGGATGTGGCTATCCTCCACCGTATTGTAAACCGGGGTGTTTGCAGGAGCTGAAGTTACAAAAGCAGTCAGGTGATATGTTCTGAGGGTACTCCCATCACTTAGCTCGGTTTCTGAAACAGGAACTAGAAACAGGACAAGACGGAGGTAGTATCATCCCATGACACCGGGATTTGAGGACAATGATCACAGAAGGCCTCTTTCCTCTGCCACGCACAGTGCCAAGTCCTCCCCATTCTGCCCCACACCGTCTTTCTCATCTGTCGCCTTCTTTCCCTTCCACGGCCACCACTCAATCTGAGACACTATTTCTGCTTATTGTGAGGGCTTCCTACCAGCCCTTCCCGTCCAGACTAGGCCTCTCCAACGCATCCCAAATCCTGCCGCTGATCCTGGGTTTTCTAAGGACCTGCTCTTCCCTGTTCTAGAGTCTCGTGTGATGCTCCATCCTTTCAAACCTGTTACCTCGAGGCTCCTTCGGAGGCACACATTCCGGATGCTAGGAAACTGAGCCTTGGTCCCATAAAGCCAACTGTCCCCAGGGATGACCCGTGGGTGACATCAGCCTCCGTGACTTCAACACTGAACTCAACCTTCTCTAAAAACACCTCTGTAGTCTTGGTTTTAAATTATACCAGTACCACATAGTTTCTCAAGCGAGAAGCCTCAGAATCACACCAGATGTGTCCTTTTCTTCCTAATTTCTTCCACAGCCACACAATTGTTGTGAGCAACTAATTCTACTTCAGGCCTCTCCCCAAGCACCTCCTCAGCACTTCTTCTATCACCACTGCCTCAGGTAGGCTCCCTTCTGCTCTCTGCAGGATGGCTTTGCCCCAGTTCTACCTGCCACTTCTCAGAGCAGGGGGCAAAGGTCGCCCAAAGTTTGTTTTAAAAATGTTATTAAAAGGAAATGAAAGGAAGGAGGGAAGGAAGGAAGGAAGGAAGGAAGGAAGGAAGGAAGGAAGGAAAAAAGGAGGGAGGGAGGGAGGGAGGGAAGGAAGGAAGGAGAGAGAAAGAAAGAAAAATTTAAGAGAGAGAAAAGGAAAACAAAACAAAAAAAACACCACAGAATATGTGACAGAGACCATATGCGGTCCATGATGTCTAAAATATTTACAATCAGGCCATTTATAGGAAAAGTCCACTGACCCTGCTAGCCTGTGCTCCATCTTGCCTACAAGAAGGACCTTCTTCACAAACCCTCCGTGGGTTCCTTGTGTCTATATTGGATAAATGCCAAACTCCTTAGCTTGCTGCGTAATTCCCTGGGGAATCTGTCTGCAACTTCCTTTCTAGACTTATCTCTCAGTCCTGCTCATTCCACGTACACTCCAGCCACAGCAAACTCCTCACTATTCCCAGAACTCAGCATCCTCCCCGGCCTGCTGTCTCCCTGCCTAGCCTGCCTTTCCCATGGGACATCTCCATTTAGCATCGCCTTTGAGTCTCTACCTCTTTCTGAGTAACTACACATTCCCCAACTGTGGTAAGAAGATCCAGATTATCTTTTCAATTGAATGTTCAATTGCTCCCTTTTTCCTTAGCACAATCAGATAACACCATCCCACACCTAAACATTTCCTGCCTTTAAGGTTCCCTTCTCCTGAACTGGCCTTCTTTTGAGAGTTCTTATACATCCAGAGATGACCCATCCATCAATGCCCAGTCAGCTTGCCCATGGCTTCTAGAAGGCTTCTTTGACCCTTCCATCTCTAAATCTTCTCTCTTCCCTTAAGATTCTCTGAACACTTCTAAACCTTTCCGAAAGCACTTAACCCTTTCCACTTCGTAGTATAATTATTTGCAGGAATGTTTTACTAGCTCCATGGACTTTTAGGATCCCTAAAGGCTAGTTTTTTACCTGGCGTCTTTCTATGATTTCCCCTCCCCACCAGCACCTACCTTAGAGCCTTTGCATAGAAGGTATACAAATACCTGTGAAACAAATACTACTAATTGAAAAGTCTACTTTGGTTGCCTTAATCTAGTCACAAATACTTTGTAGAACATGACACCAATGAAAAGGTACACACAGTAATTAATGTTTGAACTGGTTAGAAAAAAACAGCAATGATACTATTCCATCTGCTTGGGTAACAAGATACAGTCTGTTCACAGTTAACACTTAACTAAAAAGATTGTGAAGCCAGATCCAGTGCTTGATTTTCCTCAAGTCCAGTTTGAAAGTTTCACTTATTCAGCACAAAGATCTTGAGTTTCCTTCAGTGACACAGTGAGAGGCCAACTGATAATTGTCATGGACGTACATGGACTCACACAAGGATGGTGACGTCAAGAGAAATGTTTGTCTTGGTTATTTCCTGATTTCCCACAAAAATGTGTCACCAGAGAAACAGAATAGGCATTTAAAATTTTGCATGGATTCCAAAGCCTGTTTTAGAAATACTACACTTACATTTTTTTTTAAAAAAAGCAGTTTGGGTTAAAATATTATGTCCTATCACTATTAAAACACTCATGGGACATATTGACAAATAAGGATGATACTAATGATTGCCAGTTATAGGTACAATAACTAATTATCCCCCCCACATCCAGTAATATGTGAACAACATGACACATTGATCTGTAATCAATACAGAATATGGAACGAAACACCCCTGATTTTTATATCCATAGGTGATTGGATAAAAATTATTAACATGGGAATCTTCAGAGATGTCTTTCCTCTTCTGCCCACCAATGAGAACCTGTCACTGTTGGTCCAATTGTCCTCTCTTCACAATCCTAACCCCCAACCCTCATTTTGTCTTTGCCTGTTCCTGGACTCAGACACTAAACAGAAAGGAGGATGAGGAGAAGTTCTCTGCTGGAAGAGCTGAGTAGATGCAAACAAGAAAGAGATGAGAAACAAGGAGTTCGGTAGGAGATAGCATAAAAGTTACGTGGGATGTGTACGGAGAGGGGACATTTTTGTGGCAGTGGAAAGGATATGGGGAGTAAAGCAAAGGAAACGTGAGAAGTGCTTCCGGGTAGGGATATGAATTAGCGTCCTTTTAACATCCTTCAGGAAAACTAGGCAAATCCTCTAAGGTTTTATTTTCTTGCTTTTGTTTTTGCATGTGATTTTCAACCATATTTTGTTAAATGTGACATGGCTCCGGGATTGAACCACATGTGGCGTGGTTTCATTAGGGTTACATATTAATAGTCATATTTACATGTTGTACACTGTTCTTTCAATATTTCTAGAATATGGGAGTAGAACATCTTAAGACATTTTGCCAATAAAATAAACCTGAATATGTTATGCCATAAAATACAACATCCATCCATATTTTTTTCCCCTGATAAAACAAGGCTTCAAAGGAAACAGATTTTTAGCAGATTTCGTCAGGGTCTGGCCTCACATGCTTTATCTGCATCCACTGTCCCCGGTAGGAAGGAGTTCTTAGGTGAACACTTTGAGAAGCTCTTGCTTAACACAAAGGCAATATTTAGACTTCATGGATACACGTATGAGAATGTTATCAGACATTCAGAAAACCACACAGGAGGCGTGAACATTTATCTTAAGTGTATTGTTTACGAATAAACATTTTTATTTTGCTCCAGTTCTCAGCTAATGATATTTCAAATGTGAACCAGGGTGGATATGAACCAGTAGGAAAATGAGACTTACATTTTAAATTCAATCTTTTATTTTTGATGCATGCACACAATTTAAAAAATTCTCCTGCTTTTTTACTGCTGCCAAGTAGTGTTTACCAAAAGCCTCTCACTTACATCATGCTCTCATGTCTAACCACAAAATTACTCCCTAGTCTTGCCTTCTCTTCCCTCAAGCTTTCCCTAGCCGCATAGGGTATACTACAGTCTGTGCAGTGGTGAGCGGCCCATGCTCACCTTATTGAAAAAAAGTAAAAAAGGGGTGCTGCTGAAGGGAGGGGGTTTTCTGGGGAGCCCCTGGAAGAGATTTTGAGAGAGGTCCATGGATATCCAGGAAAGTATGTGAAGAAAAGCTCTCTGAAATTTCCTCCATTGAGGAAGGTTCTGGAGGCAGAGGAAAAAGACAGGAGATAGTCTGCTGGAAGTCCCAATGACAGGATAACCAAAATCTAGAAGTCTGTTTTTACAAAATGATATATTTAATTACTGATTTCCCAACATGACATATTGAGGACAATAAAGGTGGAATGTGCAAAGTATTTTTGCTGTTCTTTCCAAGAACTTAGCCAGGGGAATAGATGTTCATTAGTTAATGAAGAAAAAGAACCAAAGTGGTGAGTTTCTGCAAAGGGATACAAATGAATGATGAAGCTGGTGGTTGGTTGGGTGTTGGGCCTCTGTGTTTGGTTTACTAGGTTCTTGCTCCCCCACAGCCCTCTGGTTGATAAAGAGAACTTTAAAGAAATAGAGGCAGTGTAATGAGGATGGATAATCCTAGGCTCTAGGTTCCGAAAACAGCCAGGGATGGATTAAAGCGGAGGCCTCTGGGAAAGATACTTGCCTACAAACCAGAGTGAGGGCAGGATATGAAGCTACTGTGGTCTGGCACACTGCAGAGCCCAGAGACATGGGCCTGAGAAGCACAGAATGCTTGATTCTGTATAAGTAGCTTGACATCTTGGCTGGCTACATTTTAAAGTTCATTTTCAAAGAGCAGAGACCACCAAGAAACAGGAAGGATTCATCAGGCAAGAGATGTGCAGATGAATTCCATTTTCTTTTGGTTCAAGTTCTTTAGACAATTTAGGCAAAGGCAGAGATACAGCACAGCTGGATCATCACAAAGTCCCTTATATTCCTATGGACAAGACAGAAACATGTGCCTTGGGTGTCAACACAATTGCTAGAACTTGTTACTCATTTAATGATCATGTCCCATAGGTGCCTATTGGGTTCTCAAGGGCGAGGAGACCCCAACGTTGTGTCACAGGCCTCTGACTTTGGCCCCAACTGTGCAATGTTTTCTTTTCTTTTTTTTTATTTTTTTAAATTTATTTATGATAGTCGCCGGAGAGAGAGAGAGAGAGAGAGAGGCAGAGAGAGGACAGATAGGAAGAGGGAGAAACAGGCTCCATGCATGGGAACCCGACATGGGATTCGATCCCGGGTCTCCAGGATCACGCCCTGGGCCAAAGGCAGGCGCTAAACCGCTGCGCCACCCAGGGATCCCTGTGCAATGTTTTCATCAACGAAATGATGAAAAATAATGGAAGCTTGCTTTTCAGATCTGAGATGATACTAAAATGAGATGAAAAGTGAGGCTGGGGATGCTATAATCAATAGCTATAAAAACCCCAATAATAGAGAAGAGAGTTTTCTACTTTCAAAACTATGAAACCCTTTATTCAGATGGAAATCTGATGCAGAAATACAATATTAACCTGAGGACAGAGGAGCTGTTGTGTCTGAAATGGGAGCGAATACCTGAGCCCTGAGTACCAAATCCTCGTACATCATTTCCTTCCCCACCTTTCACGGATGTTCCTCAGTGACCATGTGGGGCTCCTGACACTTTAAAGGGACACTCTATCAAGAAGAAATTGAACAGTCACATCAAATCTACAAAGGGGAGAAAGGTGCATAGCTCAGTCTTACTTTGGCCTTTTGAGATTAAGAAATAAAGAATTTTGTAGGTTCTCTGAGCAGTTGTAGCAGTTTGTGCACAATTAGGGAGAACAGACTATATGTTTCAATGGAAATGATTCCAGAAAAATGACTACCCTGAATCAAGGGAATGAGGTTGAGCAGTGACATATGCCAAATAACTCTGAGGCTTCACTTTAGAACCTGAAGGTGAAAGACCATGGCACCAGCAAAGTGAGTCACACAGTCTGTAGATTCTCGCTCTGCTCTGGGGAGAGATCAGCCCACCCCAGAGTAAGTGGAGCAGCTCTGAGCATCGTACTTCAGGAAGACAAGAGACAAAATGGGGAGTGTTCAGTTGGGAGGGGCACGGATGGCAGGACAGTATCTCAAAGCAATCTCATTATTTTGAGACAGCCGAAGAGACTGGGGCTGTGGGTATTAAGGGGAAGTAGAGTGGGGATCTGGGAAAGACCAGAAATGATAGTCATTTTTAAATAGTTAAAGGGAAATCAACTTAGGTTTGTTCCAAGTGGCACCCAAGGGCAAGATAAGGACTGGTGGGTGGAAGATAGAGGCAGACAAATGATGGTAACTCCATCAAATGAAGACCTTCTCAACAGTCAGTACCAGTTAGACAGAGTGGGCCTCCTGGAGGGACACTAACCACCAATCATAGAGGTATGTGACTGTGGCCTGAGGACCACTTTGCAGGTCTGCTAAAGCCTGGCCTCATGTTCAATTGAAATAGATGGCTCTTAATTCTAAAAGCAATGATGCTAAATAAATCCCCATTCATATAGAATCCTAAACCTCCCAAACTCCAAATAACCAGACTATTTGTCATAATACTGAGTAATGACAAGTGACATATATTAAAAGGGCCCCAAAGAGCACCTGGGGGGCTCAGTTAGTTGAATATCCAACTCTTGATTTTGGCTGAGGTCATGATCTCAGGACCTTGGAATAGAGTCCCATGTCAGGCTCCACACTCAGCATGGAGTCTGCTTGTCCCTCTCCCTTTGCTCCCCCTCCTGTTCTCTTTCTCTCAAATAAATAAAATCTCAAAAACATAAAGATTGAAAAATTAAAAAGCAAAATGGCCCAGGGATTGTGCAAATTTCCAAAAAGATGTTCATAAAGCAAGATGGATCAAGTCCAGGAGAAAGAATTCTAGTGGTGTGTGCCATCATCTGGTATGCTATCCAAGCTCTGCGTAGCCACTGTTGGCCATAACTGATAATGAATGTGGACACCATCTCAAAAACAGTCTAGACAAAGGAGTTAACCATAGCTAGTGCGATTCCATCTACAATCCTGTGTGTACTTATTTCCACGGTTAGATACATCTATGCAAATTAGTTCTTCCATAATAAACAGAAGTACACATAAACTTATTTTTGAAGACTCTGATCACACGATACTTGTTTTGAAAATGCATTTGCCATTGGATCATTATGTTTCTGCAGCACTTTCAACTGTGAAGGATGCTAGGTGGTGACAGTGCACGTATACCCACACACCCAGCACTACAGTCGCATTAATATTTTCCTCTCGCACATTACGCTCTTTGACTATCAATGCTGTTCAGATCCTTTTTTATGGCCCTTAAAAAATAGTTGTCATCCTGTCCCTCCCTTCTCCCTGAGCCGATCCATTAGTGGATCACATCACAAGTCCTGTGAGGTCCAGGATCATGTGGTGGAAAGGGGCTAGGAAGCTCTTTGCCCATACTTACTGGGAACTAGCAGCACCCAAGTCTCTAATGACAAGCAGAAGGTGTGACTGTTGAACAGTTATTACCCTAGCTGCTCTCAGAAGTGCTCTTTGGAGCATGTGAAAACTCTCGGCTTAAGCCACTGCCAGAGTTTCCTCAGCAGCACAGCTGCAGGCTGCAAGAACTGATTTCTCAGTCCAGGGACACATGAACTTGGCCAGAGTTTGACCAGACACCACTTAAGGTCCTACCGAATTCTAGAACTCTGTGAGCCAGTATATAAAAGTAATATGCTAAGATGTTTACGGAGACACCCAGCAGATATTTAATCAGTGCACATGACACTTAGATCAGCACTTCTTGCCATTTTATGGTATGTTTTACATTAAAAGAAGAAGGAACTATTTGCTTCACAAAATATTGAGTTTGGCCTATATAAATGATTTCTTCTGGCTTAAGAATCCATAGATTATTTTGTTCTATCAAAAGTGTCACAGTGTGATTTATTTTAGACATAAACTTACCTAGATTATGTAAAACATAATCTGATGTGCCTATTTGAGTTCCCCTACATTGTCACTAACTGTGCAACCTTGGTGATTCTTTTTTTTTTTATTTGACCCCTGGCCCTCAGTGCATTTCTGTATAGAGTAAAAAGATTAGTTTAGAGATTGATTTTTCACGTCCATCCAGTTCTGATTTCTGAGGCACATTCATACTGAACAGAGCAAAGCATACCTCCCTCTATACTTTATACTCATAAATGTATTGTTTTTTTAAATCCACCATTGTGAAAAACATTAGCAAGAAACATATGTTCTTTAAACTGCTACTTTCCCTCCAACTATACCACAGTAGCTCAGAAATAATTCCAGAAATAATGAGAAGACTTGGAAATACATATTTATAATATATAAGCAGCTCAGTTCCCAAAGGATTTGGCAACATACTTGTACACTTTGAAAATAATTTCCACCCAGATCATTTGATCTTGTACATGTCCAATGTGGAAAATAAAAACCCCTGGAGGCAGAGTATAGTTTAACTTTGAGAATAAGGAGAGATATAAAGACCATAAACACGAGAGGCAGGCCCCCATCAAAGTTAGGGGTAAATGCTTTATGATTTTCTCAATATTCCTTCCTATCAGTCCTTAATTACTCATCAGGGCTTCGTGCCTGCACTATTTGGCCACTGCAAACTCTATGTCTGAGGCTGGGCTGCAGACAAGGTCCCCTATGGAAGGGTATCTGGGGATCCCTTATTATTAAAGCTCAGATAAATGCAGGCCCCATGGCCAGTCCTGGCATCAAAACCAAATAGCTCCCCAGGACTTACCAGCGGCTCTGCTAGTCCCGTCCTGCCCAGGTGATGGTTCTGCTGTTCGTGAACAGAGGATTGGCAGGCCGGGGAGCTGGGAGGAAATGTAATTTACTGCATCTGGTAGCAGAGAACAGGGAATACAATTAGGCACAGTGTCGGGAGGCCCAATGGGTTCACTGCCGAAACAGCAGCTTGTCTGCCCTACATAATGGACCGCGGAGGCGGCCACTGAACAAGAGGATCAAGGCGAACAAAGACCAGCATTTGCCCAGTGACTGGTATTCAGCAGAGTAGCTGAGGTAGGAGGGATCCTGGCCAGAGAGCTCAAGCCCCAGGACTGCTCTATGTATTGAAAGATTCATCAGAAAGCTCTAGATCCTAAGAGTACAATGAATTCAGGGGGAAAAGAGGATGGGCTAATGAGAGCCATTATCAAGTTGGTGGGATTGACCATACATGAGACATCAGATTAGACATATGCCTTCAACAGTACTGAAAAATAGACTTGGGGATCATTCCCTGAATTGGAAATGTAGCTTCAGGTACCTGATTCATTCAGAAGACCTATTTTACAGACATTAAGAAAAAAAAAAAAAAAGCAACTTCCCAAAACTCTAGAATTTATCCCTCAATTTTAATATTTCAGGTTGGTGGGTCAGCCAGAAAACCCTGAGATTCCAAAAAACAACAGCCCTTGAATTCACCATTAGCCCAGTTGTAGGAGATGCAGCTGAGCAAAACAGAAAGACCAGCTCCCCTTGGGAGAAAAGCCTGACAAGCCGTCAGGGAGATGAGATCCTGCCACACATTGACCTCAGCAGGCATGTCAAACTGTCAGAGGAGAGGAGGAAACCACTGGGGTGAGACAAGGAGAAGAATCTGTGTATCCCCCAGAGACAAGTGGGAAAGCTAAGGCAAGAACATTCTAGAAAACTATGTGATGTGACTCCTTCCTTGTGTCACGACCATGCCCCAGGATCCTGGAATGCCAATGGCTTACATCTAGCTGCTTACTGCACATTTCCACTGAATCTTTCCCAGTCACCTCACACTCAACATGTTCCAAAGGAAACTCTCATCTTTGCTCATCTGCTGCCTCTCCTCTACTCCATATCTCAGCTCATTGGCATCACAATTCACCCAGGATCCCGGACGGCACCCTGAACACCCTCCCTCGATGCCCAGCCAGCCCCTAGCCTCCACCTCCTCCACATCTCTTACATCTGTCCCATCCCCTGTATCTCCACTGATACTGCCTTAGTCCTGTCAGATGTCTTTTCTCTTTTTTAAATTTTGGGCTGGAGAGGACCCAGACACTAGATTAGGGTGAGGATTAGGATTAGTTCAGTCCTGCACCAACTAGACCATTTGCTGACTCACATGTAAATGTCAACAATCCAGAATGTGCTGATATTGGGCCATTATGTTTTTAGGAACACACTCTGTGGTGGGGGAAGGGTGGAGTTTCACTAAGGGAATGGATTTTTCCATATCAACCATTTGAGGAGAAGGAACAGGAAATCAGGAGGAGGTAGGCAGGCCTTTGGCGACAGCGAGTTTCAAGTGACCATCTCTCTCTGAGGCCTTACGTGTGCTGGAGGGTGGGCCCTGGGTCGGGCAGACATGGTTGAGAGCCTTCCCCTGCAAGGAAGGAAACTGGACCTTTGAGATGATGGGGGAGGGGCCAGGGAGACAGCCATGAGGTGGCCTGCAGGGACACCCTGAAGGTGGGCCTGGCTTGAGTCAAGGGTTCCAAGTGTGACTAATGTAGATTATTCTCTATTACTCCTGAATTAAGGTTACTCTCATCGTATGGAGCTGTGAGGAGAGTCCAGGCCCCAAACCCACACAATTCAGGATGAGAGGAGAGCAGAGGCTGGAGGTAAGCTGCTCCTGAGGGTGTAGGGGTGGCCAGCTGACAGTGGCCCAGGGGAAGATCTGAGCGGCAGTGTGGGGCCAGGGGGACAGTGTAGGGGACAAGAGATGACCAGAGCAGATTTGCAGAGCTTTTGAGTTTTCCCTGAGGATTTCTAGAAATCTGTGGAATGAGATGTTGATAAATCTGATTTTCTGCATTCAAGTGAGATGAAGGTTCAAGCCATTTAGGACCAGTTGAGGACTCCCAGACTGGTCACAGGTGTGTCTATACATTCTATGCTAAATATAGAGTTTCTGGGAGTTTTAGCAGCCGGAAACAAAAGGCACTTGCAGGCAGGGGCATCCGCATCAGAGAGGGCCCAGGATTACAGGGCTTCCCTCTCAACCTCCCCCAGAAGGCAGCTCCGGGCCCAGTGTGAGTGGAGGTGGAGTCACCTTTCCCCAGGTGTTCACTGGCTATAGACGTGAGGACCACAGCTCTTGGACAGCTGGGGCCACACTCTCCTGCTGAGATGGGGGAGCAGCGAGGAGTGGGGCTTGAGAAGGAGAACCGGGCAGCCAGCCCCCTCAGTAGGGTGCGAAGTAGTAAACCCAAAGCTAGGCAGCCGGGAGGTGGCCAACAGACCAACACCGGGAATCATTAACGGGGTCTCCGAGGCCTCTATGGGAAAAACCTCCTCACGTGGCCTCAGTCAGTAAACTGCCCTCTTCCTGCCAAAGTTAGGGTGGCCTATGGTCAGAGAAGGTCGAGAATGGTCTTTACCAGGGTAGAATCGTAAGGTGAGCGCTCCTTGTTAGTCCCAGCCCTGCTGAAATGTTTACCGCAGCTCTGACGAACATGAAGCCAGGGCCAGAGAAACAAAACCAATGAACACTCTCCTGGAAACATGACTTATGAGAACAACTGAGAACACATTGAGATTTCCCAGCAATGGGTGTGAAGGTGTTGATGTGGGGATGGCTTCCGGCCACCACGGACCAGGACAGCTTGGAAAGCTAAGAAGATCAAGATCGAACAGCAAGGGCGGAATCATGCCCAGGACAACATTTTCCTTTGTCAGTTCTGGCCGACGGTTTCACCCAGCATCTCGGTGGGTACAGAAGAGTTAGCACAAGATACAGACTACATGAAAGTTATCGTTACGCTAGATCGCATGCCTATTTACGGCAGTAAAAACAACCCACCCAACTGCTGAAGACTGTCATATTAACAAGCGTGTATGTGGGGTGAGGAGGAAGTGACAGGGTCGGAATGCATATGGCCAGGGAATTCTACTCAAGATTGGAATACATGGCTCGTGATGGCCAAGACTACCCTGCTATCCAAGGCCATTGGTGATTTAGCAGTGCTGGACCTTTATTAACTCAGACACGCATTGGGTGACATGCACAGGGACCCGAAGTGGGGTCACTGGCAGCCATCCCCCTTGCACCTCATTAAACTAGGGACGTTTTTGTTGGTTATCTGCAGCATCTTGTACAGTCAGATAATCCTAGCTGGCCTTGGATTCCGTAATCAGCATTTCAGAAGTAGGGTATTCTTCTTAAGGCATTATTATCCGATAATAATTTGGGGTTAGTTCTTAGGAACAGCAGGTGGTTGTTTCTGGGAGGGTCTCGGCAACTTTAAAACCAAGGAGCCTTTTGAAACCAAAGAATGTGAAGCTAATCAGGGATATCTTGGGTGGCTCAGTGGTTGAGCATCTGCCTTCGGCTCTGGGCGTGATCCTAGAGTCCCGGGATCGAGTCCCGCATTGGGCTTCCTGCATGGAGCCTGCTTCTCCCTCTGCCTGTGTTTCTGCCTCTCTCTGTGTCTCTCATGAATAAATAAATAAAATCTTTAAAAAAAAAAAGAAAGAAAGAAACTATCCAGACATTCCAGAGTCCCCCAGCTGGGCCTGCTTCAGTTTTTACTCTCAGACCACAGCGTGAACTAAACATTGACAGCGTTCTTGGAAGGATCTTTGCCCAGAATGATGCCCAGAATTAGTTATAACCAGAGATGGCAGGAATCATAATCCAAGGTGACAGGTAAGACCACAGAAATCATTCCCTGGCCATTTCTTAAAATCCCTAAGATGTTTGCATCTGTGAGCTTGAGGTCACCTCTGTCAAAAAGCGACCGAGGACAGAGTCATCAGGGCAATTTTCCCTGTAGGCTCTTTTTTGTCATAATCGTTTCTTCCCACTTCTGTGAACTGTCTAGGTGAAGGGATGCAAGTCGAGGGAAGTGATGGAGGAAGAAATGAAAGACGTTCAGGTTGAAAACAAAAGACACAGTGGCAAGGGGTTATTATGTGGCTTTAGTGTTGCCTGTTAACAAATCATAGGCTCTGTGGGTCTCCACACCCTTCCCTAACTGTAGAGAAAACTCTAGGAAAGATCCTGGTTTGAGAAATGGGAGGAAAAAAAGAAGTAAAAGCATGAAAAGTCAATGTGCACCCTTCCAGGACGTAGGTGTCTGTGGGTCAGTGTCCCATTGCCCCCTTCCAGCCTGACATTGCGTTATTGCTGATTACGTACACCACCTCGGGCTTTCCTAGCACTAGGGAAGCCCACTATGCTTCCCATGCTGCCACCCCTTACTCCCCCAAAGCGGCAGGGCCACCTCCTCAGTCCATGCTCTAACCCCAAAGCACAGAACAAGAGCCCTAATTTGGCCAGACCCTAGAGAAGGCTCTAGAATGTCAAAGGTCCTCCCCGTGGAGTCCCTGCTGGCTTGGCCCTGATCTGTCCCTGCTCACATGTGCTGGGAATGTGAAGTTTACTTTACTACCTCCCTCAAAACTCCAGATTCCTTGCCTATTATTTACTGGAAACCATACCCCCTCATCAAATAAAATAATACAGTACTTTTGTTTTGTTTTTTTTTTTTTGCTAAAGTCAGAATTATCCTTAGTGCAAATATCTTTGCTAAGCCGTGAAAATACATTACCCATCTCTGCATTTTGAAATCTTTTCCCTTATATTTGCAAATGACATTGGGAGAAGGCTGATGCCCACTTTTATTCTGGCTCCTGGTCGTCGTCATAGTTTAGAGGGTGACCTTATAGGAACCAGGTGAGCGTCTGATCCTACTGACAAGTCCTGGCCTTTGAGAGCATGTCTCATTGAGGGCCGTGGTGAAAGTGGGACTGGAGTGGTTTTCATGAATTTGTAGCTTAAGTTAGGGGAGCCAGGTGAGCGATGAGAAGCACATAACCCCAAGTTCCTCCCCACGCCCACAGGTAAGGAGAGGGCAGGGCAGAGCCAAGGAAGGGAAGAGAGAGCAGAAGCAAGACCCGCTCCTGCCAGGATGGGGTCAGGAAGCCAGGGCCCTGCTCCCACCCTTCATGTGCTCAAGACCAACTCCGCCACACAGGGAGGGCACGTCTGCCCAGCTTCGTTCCCCGGGAAGGCTGAGGAAATGGCAGTTTTCTGGTTCAGAGTTCTAACACGGGCTTTAGGGACGTTTCCTCCACACCAGATGTGGCCTTTTGATGTGTGTTCTGACCTGGAGTCCTAGCCGCACATGGGCTCATTCTTGCCGGGGACCTGGTCCTGATCGATCGTTAGCACTCTTTGCTGAGCAGGTTTCAAGAAAGGTCCAAGCAATGAACCTTGAGGACTAGATGGGAAGGGGAGGAGCCAGGCCAACCGTATAAGACTAGAAGCAGTGAGTCGAGAAACCATCCTAGGAGAGAGGCAGACAAGCCTTGGGACGTGCACCTCCTCAGTGCCTCGCACAGACTCTGGTTCCTTCCCCCTGATGACCTTACACACCAACACATCACATCTCCTGGTGAGCCTGTATTCGTGAGACCCGCTAAACTGACCCGGATTAAGATTCCTCTACAGAATGGGGGCAGAGAGCACTTACACTTACCTCCATCCGCATTGGAGAAGCTCTGTGGAAACAAAAGCAGGGCAGAGCGTCACTACACACGTGAGGAGACAAGCCCTCCTCCATCTAACCCATCTCTCTCTCCCCCAGGGCCAGAATTTGACTGTGGTGGGGAAACCCACTGCTCTCTTTTCTTCTGGGAAATCTGTCTGGGATCCTGCAATTTAAGGGAAAGCTTTATCATTCCCACCTCTACTGAATTTCTCCCAGGAGGGATTTATGTCGATTATCCAGCAAATACCCTTGGTTGTGTTGGGAGAAGTGATATCAGAAAATTCCATCTTAAAATTAATTTTACTAGATTGTTTCTTTGGCCTGGGTACCTGGGCCGTTATACAATGGAAGGAAGGGGGGCACCTGGGTGGCTCAGTGGTTGGGCATCTGCCTTCGGCTCAGGTCTTGATCCTGGGGTCCTGGGATCGAGTCCCACGTCAAGCTCCCTCTGGGAAGCCTGCTTCTCCCTCTGCCTGTGTCTCTGTCTCCCTCTGTGTGTCTCTCATGAATAAACAAAATCTTTAATAAACATAATATAAAATGGACGGAAGTTCCTGAGATATTCAGAGACTACTGGCTTGATGGGTTCTGTCCTCTGTGCTACGCGGCACCATCTGTTTTTATCATGTTTACACTCTGTGCATTTGAAATTCATATCCATTTGATAGGGTTTTGCCTCTGGCCTTTTTATAAAGGAAAGACTTAAAGCCACAAGGGGCAGATCTAATCTGCTTAATATGAATTGGCTTTAGAATTCTGAAGTCCAAGGGGAGATGACTTTACAGGAATCAGGCATATAAAGGGTTTGGACAAAAGGGAGGTGGTGTTGATTTAAAGGCTCTCCTCTGTGCTTCCCCACAGACCAGGTGGTCCCCCACCTGCCTACAGGCCACTCTCGGTGTCAGAGACGACCCTGCTTCTAACACATCGGTACCCCATTTCACAGAGTGGGGGGCTCAGACTTCTCATCAATACTAACTGGCCTTGTCTCCATTGGCATCAATTCGCTAGTGCCTACTCCCCCGTGGATATAGTTTGGAGAAATCGCATTTGTTTTCTTTACCTTCTGAAGGTCCTTAAAGGATTTTTCTGTCTCCTTTAGTTTCTCTAGGATGATTTGCTCTTTGGCAGATATCTGAGACTCTTCACTTTCTAGCGCTTGTATTTCCTGCTCCAGCCTGGAAAACACACAAACAGAGAACAGGGTCCTTTATTGTCCTGCCGTCCCTGGGCCGGAGAGCAGCTCCTTCCTGTGGGGTGACTTCCTGGCAGTCTCCCTCTTACATGATGGGGAGGTGCCAGCCAGGGTTTCACATCACAGAGCATCCTGAGTTTTCAGCTTTGCCACTCCGCAGACAGTGATCAAAGGAAAATAATCCAGAGCGACTGCCACCAGTTCAGTGCTGCCACTTTGCAACATGCTTTGGTGCCTCCCCTTGAACTCGATTTTCCAAAGGAAAATAGCTTCCTATTCTCTTCGCTATTTCAGAATAGCAGTTCTTCTAAGGGGTGAAGAGCTAGTCTTACTCAGAGAAAATATGTTGCCACAGGCTAGTGGCCGATACCCTTGAAAGCCTGATGTCATCTCCCTCAGTGGCCCATCCTCTACTGCCCAAAAGAAGGGAGGAAAGGGGGGGGGGGGACTGATAGAATTAGAACTTTCTCAGTTTTCACAGCCATCCTATGTCTTCCCTGAAAGGGAAATTTTGGTACTGCCAGGAGACCCTGGGAATATTCCAGAACACTTATAACCTGAGAGAAGTCTCAGTAGCTTATTCTTTCAATGAAATGATAGTATGAACTATTAATTTTTATTGAGCACTAAATCTGTGCCAACAATGGAGCTAAGAATTCACATCGTGTATTTTATTTAACATTCCCAATGACCTCTTGGTAGGGAATCCCCATTTTCTGGATGAGACCAGAAAGGCTTAGCTAAGTTAAGGGGCTAGTTGATTGCTACAAAGCCTTGAATCAAGGACTCAAGCCAGAAGTCTAGGACTCCTGACCATGGTGTGTAACTCTTATCATATGGGTTCTATAGTATCTCGAGTATGTCCTGCCTTGCTAAACATTGCATATGCTGGCATTCTAAGGTGGCACTGTCATGCAGCAATGTCCTTAGGGTTATGAAGGGGTGGATATTCCCCTGCCTAAAGAATTATTTGGCACCGGGTGGCTCAGTCGGTTAAGCATCTGCCTTCGGCTGAGTTTTGGGATCAAGCCCCAAGTCAGGCTCTCTGCTCAAAGGGAGAGGGCCTGCTTCTCCCTCTCCCTCTGCCTGTCGCTCCCTCGGCTGGTGCTCTCTCTGTGTATCAAATAAATAAATGAATTTTTTTAAAAAAGAACTATTTAGCCTGAATGTATTTGTTTGCTCATTCAATTTTGCTTTTGGTTTCTTTCCCCTCTGCCACACTGGAAGCTTTGCTGCAGAGTCTGTACCCACCTATATCTGTCCCATTGTGCCCCCTTTCCATCCTCTAACCTGCTGGTGGGAGCTGGCTAACCAAGTCTATTCAACTAAGACCCAAGATAAAGAGTCCACCTGAGATTCTCAGAGGGGTAAGGGACACCAAGCTACAGGCATGGGTTTATTTAGAGATGCACTGTGCACCTCAGAGGTTTCCTTCCTGGACATAAGAAAAATGGCCTCTGGATGGATGAGACTTTGCAGCAATTACTTTGGGTTGTGAAGACAAACTATGGACAATCATCTTCCCTCCAAATGAACATAGATATATTTACTCTATTACTCACAGTAAAGGTGGAAGTCCTTAAAATGACTTAGATGGCCCTATGGTAGCTAGCCTCCCAGTACCTACATGGCCTCCACTCTTGACAACAAAAGCTACTCCTCATTTGCCCATTTGTGCTCCATGTTTTCCCCTCCTCTGAGAAACCCATCTCAAAACCCTAACCATTCTTGAAGTCTCAGCTCAGACACCAGCCACCCCATGAGGCTTTCCCAGATTCACCACCAGGAAATAACACTGCCCTCCTCTGAACATTTATTAGCACATTATTTTGGTTTATCAGTGGTCTCATCAAGTCTACTATAGGTTAGAGCAGTGGTTCTCAACTGCAGTGATTTGTCCCTCAGGAGATATTTGGTAATGTCTGCAGATAATCTGGTGGTCTCACAACTCAAGGAGAGTGGAGGTGGTGCTACTGGCATCTATTGGGTAGTGGTCAGCAATGCTGCTGAACATCCACAATGCCCAGGACAGCCCCCACCACAAGGAATGATCTGGCCTCAAATATCAATAGTGCTGAAGTCTGCAACCCTAAACCCCATATCATAGCACATATAAATCATTCATTTCCCCTACTAGATGATAAATTCATCATGGGGTGTGAGGGCACAAGTGCTCAATATACATATGGTGAAAGAATCAAAGAAACTAAACCAAGTTGCAAAAAGATGTGGCTCAGGCAAATGAGACCTTCAGGATTTCTGAGGCCAGGCTGAGTTCTGCAGCAGGCCTGGATGTGAGAGGCTGTGTGCAGGCTGAGATGTAAGCAGAAGCTACAGGACAAGGGGCCAAGTGACATAGATATGTAAACAGAAAGATATAAAACACCTTTGCTGTTCCATATGTGCAGCAAATGGAACCTACCTACCTCTGTGTAAATTATTCTGGGGGAAATCAAGGAAAGGGATATGAATGTGGAATGGGAACAATACACATGGGGCAGTCCAATGATCCAGAAACTGAACTAGTTCAATGGTTAGAGGAGCACAGGAGGAGGCTTCCTGGGAAGACTGGACGAGAGTACTTGCCAGGTGGGTTCTGAGAAGATTGAATCTCAGAGGACAGAGTTCCTCAGCAAACATGGAGGATGTGGGTCTGTTACTCTCAAACATATTCCCTCCTTCCCCTCTTCACCTTCATGCGACCCATTGATGTTGGTCTTGGCCACATGATTTGCTGTGGTCTCATGGTGGGTACTCCCCTGCCCCTGGACTATGGGCTCAGCCATGTCACCTGCTTCAGCCAACGAGATGTTAGCAGACACAACACAGGAGAGGCTTGGAATGTGCTTGCCCAGTTGGGTCTGTTCTTGCGTGCCTTGCCAGCACCAAGAGAAGAGCTTCTCTGTTCAATGGCTATCCCTTCAGCCTTGGCCCCGGAAAAAAACACATGGGGAGTAGACTAGAGCCCAACCCAAAGTCATAAGCCTCGCCCAGTGGGACCTATACGTGAAATTAAGAGTTGCTTAGCGGAGCCCAGCCTAGATCAGCAAATACCCAGCGGAGTCGCGGAAGTGTGAACAATAATAAGTGACAATCGTTTCAAACCACTGAGTTTGAGAGTAATCACATAGTTCTATTATGGCAATAGCCAATTCATTCAGCTCAAATATTTATATATCATATGGATATATATTATATACATATGTATTACATGATAAATACATGGGAATATACACATACACCCTAATAAAACATATCTCAATAATACATATAAATTTGTAATATGTGTGTATCCCAATAATGCCTGAAGCTATAGGATTAGAAAAAGTACAGTCTACCCCTGCCCTCCTTCCCCAATCCTCAGAAAAATCTGGAGGGATACAGGGCCCTCCTTCATGAGGACTAAGATTGAGAAGATAGGAAAACATCAGTGGTAGTTGCCTCTGTGTAATGGATGTTGGGTAATTTTAATTTTGTTCTTCATAATTTTCAATATTTTCCCGATTTTTAAGAAATTCACAGGCACCTGGGTGGCTCAGTGGTTGAGCATCTGCCTTCGGCTCAGGGCGTGATTCTGGGATCCTGAGATCGAGTCCCACATCAGGCTCCCCATAGGGAGCCTGCTTCTGTCTCTGCCTATGTCTGCCTCTCTCTGTGTTTCTCGTGAATAAATAAATAAAATCTATAAAAATTCATGTATTCTTTGTCTAACCAGAATAAAACAAATAAATGGCTTTTAAAATAATCCCCCCCACCCCCAACCTAGTGATGAGAAAGCAGCATTTCACAGGCTTGGCATGGGAAAGGAGCCAGCTTCTCCTGTGTCCCTAAAGGGTTAAATGGGCACACTCCAACGTCAATTTACATTCAACTCAACCAACATTTATGGGGCTTTGTGAGGCTGGACTCAGAGCTAGGCACTGCAGGAGATTCTATAATAAACAAAACCAAGTTAAGAACGGCTGACTGATAAGGCGAGCGGGGGGGGGGGGGGGGGGGGGGGAGGCTGACTCTAAGTAGTTCACGTCTCCCAGTGAGGCAGCCCCAGTGGTTAAGAACTCTCTGTGGATTGATGCCCATTGGCTGGCCAACTATCTCCACAGCCTGCCCCTGGCCCTATGGGTTTCAGGGCTCTGAGCTATATAGTTCAAGCACTAAAGATTTGGGTCATGATACTGTGTAACTGAGACATGGGAGAAAGAGAGAGAGAGAGAGAGAGAGAGAGAGAGAGAGAGAGAGAGAGAAACAAAACTAAACGTTTTGCAATAACAACAAATGAGTTTCACTCAAAGGGGATGAATGCAGGAAAGTGACAGTTTATGTAAGTCGAGGTAGGTCAGATCCGAGCAGATTTCTCTACAAATGCACACGTGGGCTGGGGCCAGGTCTTGAGGGCGCTGAACGGCCCCCAGGCCACTATGGTTCTGTGGAAAACCTAAGTCCTGGGGCTGGGGAGCGTCCCTAGAAATGGGGACTTTTATGGGGTAATTAAGAGTCATCTCGGCCAGGCTGGAGATGTCACTGTTTTGTAGTTTCATGACTGAAATCTAATGCAGTCTTCCCTGGAGGCGCCAAGTAGACATTGCAGAGCTAAAAATAAAGAATGGGCAGGAAGTGTAATTTATACGCAAGGTTAATCGAGGCTCTTTTAGGCTGGGACAGGTGCACATAACAGCCCCTGACCGGCTTGCTCGGTTTCTTCCGAGCAAAAAGCAAACTGTAATAGGCGGTAAGCAGAGGTGACACCCTGCAGCTGCGCTGGCTTAATTTCCTGGCAATAAAGCTGCCATCATGGCCAGATGGTCTAGAAAAATCTACCTAACCCCAATGGACCTCCCTCGCAGGGAAATATGAAAGACCCATGGCTCTGCGAAGCGTATCGATCACTATCATTTCAAAATCCATTTATGCATTCATCCATCCACCTTTCCGCACACACCTTCATTCTATCAGGCACTGCGCTGACCCATTGGGGCCAGAGTG